GTTGTGTTTTAGGTGTAGTTTAAAATGCGTGGTATTGCCTGCTTTTGTCGCTACCTTTTTTAAACAAATGCGACACACCGCCCGGCTCATTCAAGTCCGTAGGTTGGCCTCGTTGATTTGGCTTGAATCCAAAATACTGCCACACCGGAGAATCGAGATGTGTATGTTTTGTAACCAATTCCATTTCACTTTAAATTCCCCGCGAGTAAGTCACAGGTTGTCTCCCGCTTGTCGCTATATTATTAATTTGGCTGCTACGCTGCTGTACGTGCACACAGAGTGTCCTGACCTGGCTGTGTGTCAGCCCCGCCCCTCACAGCGCGCATGGCCGGCAGCCACAGCTCGTCTGGCAGCCACAGCGCTCCTAGCTAAAATGCTGGTCACATCCTTATGTAAACAAACACGCATGTAAACGGCAATTTATCGAGCTCAGAAAAGTTATCGAGTCCATTTTTATTTATCGTACGATAAGTCAATTTATCGATTATCGCGACAGGCCTGAATCTAAACCAGCGGGTCAGTCACACAATAAATTCTCTCTGCAATATCTCCTCTAAATCTTTCCATTCAGCGGAGGAGTCAGACTGTCTGACGGAGTACGAGGAAGACGGCATGGACACAGTACGAGAGGAAGAGGGTGAGGAGGAGGAGGAGGAGGAGGAAGAGGCAGAGGATCCAGACGATATCTCCCCTGGAGAGTGGGGCCAGAATGGAGTCTTTCAGACTGTAAGCACACACATTAACACAAACATGATGTGACCCATCCAAATAATACAGTCTTTTCTTTCATGGCATTTGAAAATTCTGGACCCATACCAATATTTAAAAGAACAATTTGGCCAAAACTGACTACTGTCTATTTTCTTGTTGTTGATTGGATTGGGAGTGAAAATTAAAATAGTGTCACCTGAAAAAATAAAAATGTGTTCCTGGAATATTTTTTACTGAAAAATCGAAGTAATTTGAAAAATTCAGCTTTTTGTTTTTATTTTGTCAGTTCATGTCATCCATTAGATAGAATCACGGTAGTTCATACTTCTTCTTAAAAATAAATTCTAGATTAATCGATAGTTTGGTCAATAAAGTGTCAAAAATAATGTGTATCCCGGGTTGTCAATCCAAAAGTGTGTGTACGTTTAAAAGAAAAAACTCTCTTCTGCTCTCTAGGATGAGGAAAAAACTGTGAGACAACGCAGGAAACTGGCCAGTGATTCCAACACCTCTGAAGTCTCTGACTGCTGACAAAGGAGTATGGAGGAGAGGAGGGAGTTTATACAAGAACAAGGGATAAATTACTGGTCCATAAACTGTAAAAGATAGAGACTTGGACCCCACGCTCAGCTCCTAGAACTTCTGCAGGAAAACGCTGTTCATGCTCGAAATCCTTGAACATTCTTTGCATCGAATGGCTTTCTGTTCACATTTTAACCCCACCGTCAAAATCGAATACGAACAGTCTTTTTATGCTCTTCCCTGCCCAGCAATTTCTCTCATCACTTTGCATCAAACTTACCGGTGCCAGAATCCCTGCCTGCCAAACCGGGACACAAACAAAACACAACAGGGACACCTAAAACTCCTAAATCACATGTTTTTTTGTTTCAAATGGCCAGAAGGACCCTGTCTGTGTCCCTGAGTCTTTACGTGTGTCTCTACCGTTGGTACATTTTCAATTGCACTCAATTATTGAGGATTTAACGCATTACATAGTCCTACGATTTCTTGTGTGCACTGGATGAGTGCCTGAATGTTAGAATGACTGTTTTTGTGATTTCTTGAAGGAGTAGCAGGACACTGAACAAATAAGTAGGGAATACATGCAATAGAGCTGTAGTTAGTAAGAGTTATACAGGCTTATTGTAACATGTAGAGATCCAGGAAGGGCAGGCTGGAGGAGGAACAGATGATTATGTAAACACCAAAGCCGACTTTATATTGAATGAACAGAACAGAACCAGTGATAAATCTACTCAGTGACTGGAGAAAGAGTGATATTTTCCCCGACACTACACAACAAACCAGTAGCGTGACCGCCTCTGTTTCCACAAGGTCACACACAAAGCACTCAAGGTTCCTGTGTATAGCGACAATAAGGAGTGTATGACAGCGAATCTGAGATTGCACAGTAATGAAAATCTTTCAAATCTAGTCAACAAATTATTGTCGGATTGTACACAGAAACCCTTAGTACGTCTTAACTTCAAATGAGCAAAAATGCAACTAATTTAGCTATTAACACAATTAACATGGACCTTTTATAGATTGTAACAAGATTATATTATAATATACACAATGTTGATATTCATATATGTATATGAGGTGGACATTTGTAAATTAGAGCTTTGCTGCAAGACAAGAGAACCTACACATAAACAAGTGTTTCTTCTCTTAAAATGCATTATGTTTTTATTTATACTTGTTAACTACTGGCTTTTTAAAATCTTTTTTTTTCTGGTGGGGCTGGAGGGGGGTGTATTGTTTTAAATAACTTGGCTTTCGCTGTTTTGCACTGAAACATTTAAAGTATTCCTTGCTCAGAAGATGTTTGGTTTAATAATTGCCAACCTTAATATGACAAGAAAATCTAAAGAATAAAAACAGATAATAATTTAATATGCATATTGGAAAATAAAAATAATATGCAGTATGTGGCGTTTGTGTTTTTTTTCTTCTCTTTCGTATACCTTTTTTATGCATGTTTTGTCACAAAGCTAACACAGCTAGACACTTGCGTACAATCCTTTTAAATATGTTGGATAATGAGTCGATCAGATTATATAAAACTGATTTTCAAACACAAAGTTCCCACCAACGGTTTGCACTCAACACCAAAATCAACATTTGTAGCATGCCAAGCTTTTCCACTTACAGAAACTCTATGTGAAAAACTGAAGGTATGGTAGACATTTTTCTTACTGTGAAACCACAAATTCAAAGTTCACATGCTGTTAATGTTTTAAAAACGATTAGATTGACATCAGCGTCAAGGACAAAAAGAAACCAAGTTTGTAATAAGGAGATCTTCTGCTGTCTTGGTGTATGGTGATATTGGTTCCTACATTTAGGCTATCCCTTTATTTATTACTTGAAGGGGTCAGAGGCTAGGGTACACACACTTTTGTTTAAGGAAATGTATTAACAGTGGGTCAGAGGTGAGGCTACACACACTTTTGCTCAGAAATGTATGCAGTAGAAGTTGTTCCCCCGCTCTATCCTCCTCGGAGGACATTATTAAGGTGACATCTCAGAAGATTGTATGACCTCAATGTGTGTTACCCTGGGCCTGGGTCAATCAGTTGGAATTAACCATCTACAGCTAAAAGCCTAATATGCTCAATTAACCCTTGATTTTACTGACAAGACCGTTGTCTCAACTGTAAACTAAAACTGCATTTGAAACATCCATGTTACTTTGTTATTTCGCCATTCAACTAAGAAATAACCTTCATAATGTATACAACAAGAACATAGGATTCAACAAATATAGGAATGAACATCTCTAAAAATCTGAATTAGTTCCTTCATTATTGTGAATTGTAATGAATTATCTTTGATGAAGATGTGTAATCTGTTTAGTGTAGGCTACTGCACTGCTGACAAAAGGCGGGCAAAGTTATGTAAATGTCAATTAGAAAACTAATACTTAATACATTTGCTCCCATAGGAACCCCACTTTACTAGACCACATACTGCACATCAGCTACTGCTTTTAATGGTGAAATGTTGATGCATTTGATAGAATATTAGCAGCTCTGTGCGGCTATGCTAATGTCAACATGCTAACATTCCTCAACAAAGTTGTTGATTGGTTGTAATTCTTGATAGGGCGCGAATCAAGTGAAAGCAGAAGAGTAAGGGTGCAGCAGACCTCTGTGTCGCCTGTCAGCGCAACTTACATGATGCCGTTTAGACAATATAATAATGTAGCGACCCTGATAGGATGCTGAGGGTGTCACTCAGGCATCCCCCGTCTCTCTGCCAATCACAGAGCTGCACAGTGATGCTGGTCTAGGTGCGGTCCTGTGGTTGGGGGAGCAGACGGGGGAGGGCGGGGAAGTTGTGACGTAGACACTGTTATATATATGGGTATGTGTGGGAGTTAGCGTCAGAGAGAGTGTAAGGTGGAAACCCCAAGCTGTACCTGTACCTGTATTCCTATAAGCTAAGAAGAGTTATTAAAGCCTAATAACTTGAAGCCTGTTTCCGACTCCATCTGTGAACGTTACAATAATAAAGGGCGGTGCCGGCTGTCAGCAAACCGATCTGGCCTTTCTGCGCGAATATCACTCAAATGCGGGACATAGTCTCAATGTGTGGGACGCGGTACAAATAATAAAAATGCTGTGTGTGCAGTCCCGCACAGTGCGGGAACCCTGGTCACCCTACACACACGGTTCTGCCCCTCACACACACACGCTTCAAATCAAGTTGCATAAATGCTTGAGCTACGTTTTTATTATAATTACTGTGAAATCTGCCTATTATGTTTTCGTCATTATTACAACAAACACACACTTGCAACTGATAACACTGGCAATGATTTTAGATGTATTAGACTATTAAAAAAAGAAATCATGCTTCAAATAAGTGGGGGTATGGCGTACCCCCGCGTCCAACGCCCACTACACCATTGCAGTTAGCCGAGCTGACCCATGCTAACCTGGGCTTCAGGTAAGGCCTGTTCTGTTTCTTTTAACTATAAAGCAGACAAAATATTGTAATAGTAGCCAACCGATGCTGTGAACACATTTTAGCCACGTTAGTGAAGCGTGGAAAAGTATTATAATCAAATATGCTTAAAGTAAATAAGTACTCACTCTGCCAACCCAGTCTCATGGCATTTCGTGTTCACCAACACGATTTTTTATCTATTGATTCGTGTTGCACAGCACGATTTTAAAAGCAATGTATTTCTACTGGTAATGTGTTTCGTGCCTGCAGCACGTCTTTTTCTCCGGTCGGGTCGTGGAAGACCGGAAGCTGTGTGGTTCATAAAAACATGTTCTTACTCAATATCAAGCCACAATTATTGCTTTTATTTTAAATCGTATCATTTCGGACTTTTGTTTCCGTCTGTGAGGAAAATAAATGGGCCTCAGAATCAAACGCCCCCCCCCAGAACTACACATGCTGGCTATTGTGTTTCGCAAAATGTTCCATGGGACGTCTCTACTGAACGTTTTCGTTTTTCCCACAATTAGAAGTTGCCAGTATTAAACACATTGGTGTTATCAAATGTAAAACATATAATTAATAAATGGGTGAAAATCGCTTGTGTCCATAATGCGCAGCATTAATATATACCCACGTGACAGCTCATTGTTACTTTGTAATTCTACTCCACAATACAGAGGTTAACCTGATTGCCAAGTGCCAACAATCAGGAGAGATATTTGATAGTTGGTGCTTGAGAAGACTAAACATTTATCTGCAATTGACATGAATGGAAACGAGTAATAAAGTATATTCATTACTCGTTACTCTCTAGTAATAGTTAATTAAAGACTGTATAATGGCTATTTTGCACATCCCTTTCAAGATTTCAAGATTTTCAAAGGTTATTGACATATCATATACAAAACTACGGTGTATGCAATGAATGAAAATCTTGGGTCACAGGTTCCTCAACAGCACATTACAAGACATCTATCAACATGGTTTGTACCTCCACCATTAAACTGTCATATTCTGCACATTTCTTATACTATCTACATACATAAGAGTATAATTCATATGTATAATATCAGTTAAAATAAGTGCTTCAACATAGTTAACATTGCAGGAAAGCAATATATTAGACGTTAAGTACTTTGTCAGGCTTAATATTTATCTGTAGATACCCCCAAAGTTTTTTTCTTATTTAAAAGAGGACCTTAATCTAAAGTATTATTTAATGTTTAAATAAAGGTTAATTCGTTTTTCTGTTTTGCACCTCCTCCTATTAATATCTTTGTACATCCTGCTCTAAACTGTTTTATTGGAGAGATCACTTACAGTATCTTCTTGATTTTTTATATTCTATATTTC